AATAAAACAGTTCCCAATTCTGCCTCGCGCGTTCTTTTACATCTACTGCTTGGGCTTTGCTGGTTGTAAACTTCACGATAAACCTCTTCGCCAGCGATTTGGGATCATCAAATGGTGGCCCACAGACTTTGCTAAAGGTGAAAATTATGCGTTAGTTTTGCTTTCCCTGAGTTTTCCACGGGTTTATACCCAATGATTACTTTACGCAAATTTATATACTCGCGGTATATTTCGGTTGCCCATATTGAATCCCTCTTCAAACGTATTCACTTACCAAGTAATCGAAGCATTTACAGGCCACGGGGAAGCAACTAGTTCACGTTGAAGGGGACATTATTGTCCACTCTTGTTTACAATTCGAAAAGCACGGCCTTTCTCGCTTATTTTCCTTACAACTTGGAAATCTTCGCCCTCCTTCACGTCAAAGTGACAATCCTGGTAGCCTTTAACTACGCATTTAAAGCTTACCATTCAGAGCGCATCTGAAGCCATTTCTCCGCAGTTTCTGCGTTTACGAAAAGCACGTGCTACACTCCCGGGTGTGCCGAAGTAACTCGAGCCTTCAAGAACTTGTTATTGATTTTCAACACCAGTTACAAAAATCATAAGTTCGAAAATCGAACTTTCGATTGAATAGCCCTTTTCACAGTTCCCAGCGCCATATTGGACATGTCACCGCGCACACGTGAAACGGAGGCTGGGGTTGACCCGTGTTATATCTCTGTGAGCGATTTTGGTGAAATTCGCACGTAGGTAGTAAAATTTTTCGATTTTTATGGAAATGGATGTCCTAACCGAAATCTCGATAAAGCTGATTTTTCTTTTAAAAAGAAAGGAAAGCCGTGTGTCGCTTTTGGTTGTCCAAATACATTTTATGGCCTCAATGGTTTGCCTGTAAGCACGTATTTTTGCTAAGTATTTATCGTTCTATACTTATTTTATTCTCTGATTATTTTTCTGAAATTGTCTTTAGTGAATTTTAACTTACATGCAATAGAGCAATACTAACATAATACTTACGTGAATTTGACAAGTGTGAAGACTATATATATAAAACACTCGTTATCAGAATAGAAATTGGCGACAGAAAAGGAGATGGAGAAGCAATAAGCTAGGGAAGCCAAGGAACGTTGTACCAATCACTACGTCAATATGATAAGGCCAGGAAGTATTAGGAGAAAGTACTTCCTATCAGAACAGAAATTAAGAACAGAAATGGATGAGCAACAAGCTACGGAAACCTAGGATCATTGTTCCTATGGCTTGGTCAATATGACAAGGCCTGAGACTATAAAGAGAAAGAACTCGTTATCAAGATACAAATTGGCGACAGAAATTGAGAAGCTTCATGAAACGGATACCTACGAACATTGTTCCATTTGATTGTTCAATACGACAAGGCCTAGAGTAGCTGGAGAAAACACTTGCCATCAGAATCGGAGTGAGCAACAAAGATGGAGAAGCAACAAGCAAGGAAACTTAACAGCGGTTTTCTTGTCGCTTGTTCAATTTGGCAAGGCCGGAGACTGTAAGGAGAAAGAGCTTGCTCTCAAGATAGAAATTGGCGACAGAAGTGGAGAAGCTTCGTGCTACGGATACATAGGATCATTTTTCCCAAGGCTTGTTCAATATGACAAGGCTCGAGAGTACCAGGAGAAAGAACCCGCGATCAAGATCGAAATTGGCGACAGAAGTAAAGAAGCAACAAGCTACGGAAACTTAGGAACATTTCTTTCACTCGCTTGGACAATATGACAAGGCCCGTGTTTATTAGGAGAAAGTACTCGCCATCAGCATAGAAATTGGCGACAGAGATAGAGAAGCTTCATGCTTCGGATATTTAAGAACATTGTTCCGATTCGTTGGTCAACATGACAAGGCCCGCCAGCATTTGAAGAAAGAACTCGCTATCGAAATTGAAATTGGCGACAGAGATGGAGAAGCAACAAGCTACGGAAACCTAGGAGTGTTGTTCCTACCATATGACAAAACCCGAGAGGGAGGGGTAGTCAAAACGTTGACTTATCCAAGATAATGGTATTGCACAGAAAAAAATAATTAATGGTAGTTTGTTTTACTGATGAAAAGCCCTTTTGAAAACCATCTAATACTGTCTAACGCACTCTCTCACTAAAGATGAATCCCGCAAGGACGGATGGACACTTCCCAAACACGCGCTTTACAACTTCCCCCTTTTTATCGTGTGCCCAGTTTCATTTTGTGTCTCGGGGTAAAGACTGGTGTTTCTGATTTGACAGAACGTAAAAGTGTGTAAGTTATGTACAATATGTCGTCATTTGAAGAACCTAAACTTTTTCAAATTCTTGATTTTGCTGAGTTTGCCGTTCTCCTAACATTACGTTCGTAAGATATCAGTTTGATTGATTTGATTTGCGATTTTCTCGCTTTTGAACACAGTCATATTAATGTTAAATGGGCTGTTGACATTCACTCGGCGTCACTGGTTGTGCTTCAATTCGCTCGGTGATTGGTCCAGAAAAATCGCGTCATCGTTTTAACAATCACGGTTTAGTCATTCGTGTTTTACCGCGCTTAACGCGTTTACACTGCTCATTGGCTTCTCGTGGTATTTACCTTTTTTCAGACTCGCCGACGTGATTTTGGTTTTGCGATGATAGATTGCAAACTTCTCTGTTCCATTCAAGTGAAAGAAAGTTGAGGCCTTCTGTTTCCCGTAGTTCTTTTGTTCCAAGGCGATTGTTCTCGCTCTTGCTCGAAGCACTCTTTGTGTTACTGTAGACTAGTTCTATGATCATGTAACTTACGTGGCTTTTCTTGATGGCATTTCCTACAACACTCCTCTGTTTGTTCATCACATCCTTTTTTGCTCTCCACGTTTGATGAAACATTTTCCGGCTGCAGGTAGCTTTTCTGTGTGTAAGTTCTTTTTTCTTCTGCTAACCGGTATTTGTCTGTTCCGCTCATTATTCACAGTCCAGGGTCCCAAACTAGCGTTTGCGTAAAAATCCATCGGGTAATTTTCGTGCCATTCGATTCGTTAAATCACAACTTAAGCACAACGTAAATTCAACGAAAAAAATCCAATGAGAACAGTTTTCAACTGCCTGACAAAAGCAAACCACTATACCACTGGTTTTCAGGTTTTTCACACTATGATGAGTCTAGATACCTACGCCACTCTCTCACCCAATCTTCAAAATGACTTGTTCTTAGATTTCCCTGAAATCCTGAGGTCAAGAAACCAAGGGCTGATACCCACCCGAAATACCTTCGCGGTTGTCACGTTCGTTTTTTCCGCTGTGTACAATATCAAAAAGTCACCGAAAGGTTGTTGTACATTTCACGAAATAATTGGTAAGGATATTGCATTGTATAATGAGTGGAGTGCAGTGTGACCATTTCCATGTCTGGGCCAATATAGTACAAAGAAGAATAAAATGTTCCTTAGAAAAAAAATAGAATTACATGAAGCCAATGAGATGTTTTATGAATTTATTTTGAGCATAAATATTTCCTACTTAATTTTAACGACAATGAAAATAATTCCTTGTATTGTAAATAATCACAACAACACTTTCACAAAACAGAAAAAATTTTGTTTTCAGTTAGAAAACAAAGAGAGGAATATGAGAACGACTTGTCTCGTTCACGCTGTGTCGCAAGGAGAAACTGTGGCGTCAAAATATAACTTCGTTCTGTTCCTCGGATCTAAGCCGTACGTTTTTCTTTCGTGAGAGGATAAACGCTCCAGTGTCCTTTTCTAGAGGAAGTAGTCAATGTTTACAAGTGACGTAATTAACTTAACCCCAGAACGAATTCATTTTAAGCGATTTAAAATATAGCATTCTTGTGGATTTTGATTTGATTTTGATTTTTTCATCAATAAATTCAAACTTAGATTTTACATTTCTTAGAATTTTTTTGAAAATTTTTGTCGGAAAAACTTCAATCTATTAATGACGATAGTGTGAAAGAGTTGTACAAGTGGCTTAGCCACTTGCACAACTCTTTTTTTTCGGCAATATTTTGTGACCCAAGTTTTTCCATTTTATGCGTATTTTGTCGAGCTATTTTAAATGCAAGAATATTGATGATTATGCTTAGATTTTTGGAACTTTTGCAATTTATATAATTCTCCAAGTACAATGCAATTTCGTTTGCAGTGTAAATTCCGCCACAAGTGTTCGCTTTAGATCTGAGTATCGAGTTAAAGCCTCGACGCAAACCATGTCCTCCACTGTTAGTAACACGTCCCCGCCACAAAGAATGGCTTTGATTGCACCGATGGACATGGTGTTAACGCGACTATTATAATTTTCGACATTCAGGAGCTACAATAAACAAACTTAAGAATTGATTAACATAATCTGCATTACGTGCTTCAGTAAGCTTCCTTTCAGTAAGATAAACAATCTCGGCACAATTGTCTACTTAATTTCCTAAACGTTTCATTTTCTCACAGCACCATTCCTAGCCATGAGACGAAAATTATTCTTACAGTGGGAAAACAAGAAACCTTCACGCTTTAAACCCCATAATGGCCATACATGTTGATGTTCTAGTATAATATTATGATAAATAAATGCGCGAAGTTATAAGAAGCGGTGTCTGAACAATTGTTTCATATGCGTACTTTAGACATTCTCTTAGATATAAACCTCAAATATGCGTCTGAAGATTTTGGAACAGATTTTCAAAGCGAGTAATTTGTCGGCGCAATAACTGGATGCTCACTCGCAGCGCACAATGCCATGAGTTCTTTCCAAGGAATAACGCATAGGAATTATGATGTAATGACTCGTTAGATAGATAGATAGTTTATTGATAACCGCTTTGCAACCAAAAATTGATTTGTACGATCATTACAAAAAGATAATTTTAATAATTAAATTAGAAGGACTACCAGTAGTTTTTAAACAAGTTTGCATTAAAATATGTTTGTAAACATGTTGTCTTAGTATATAAAATATATGTCGAAGAAATATTTAAGCCTAAAAAAACCCACAGCAAGAACAGTCTTCGCAAGGCTATTTGTGCCAGATATCGCGCCTATGATAGGAAGTAAACAAGTTATGTTCAGTCGCTTAAGTATTGTTTCCTTAACTAGTTCAGGTAGTTACTAGGAGTATTTCAAGTCTCTGCTCAAGTGGTGTCTATACAGATGCCTAAGCAGGGTTGTCCATGACAGTATCTTGCTGGTTTTCTCTCTGGGTTTTCAAGTCAATGAGCTCCCGCCAAGGAATAAAGCATAGGAAGACAGCTGCAATGGTTGCTGTTGTTATCATCTGAGCAATAGCACCCAAGTGATTCAAAAAAAAGATGGCTACCGAAGGGATTACTGTTTCAACAACTACAAGCGATATGACAGTACCGAGAACTAGTAATACAACAGAAACTCGCACCCATCGTAGAATCTTTGTTTTCTTGATCAGCAAGATTGCACTTGTGCTCACCTTAACGGCGAACATAGACAGCTTGAATGAGCCGTAACTTGCACCTGTGGCCAATCCAAAATTGAAGACGATTTTGTTGCAGATGACCTGTATGGTTCCATTTCGAATCAAATTTTGAACGGCAGCACTGCTACAGTTTAGGGGATCTTGCGGCTTCAAACTCCATTTGCGTTCGAAGCAGTCTTTCGAGAGGTCATCTTCATCGCAGTCGTAACTTACATCCCGCACAAGCAGCTGCCAAAAAATTGTCAGCACTAAGCCAAACATCACATAAAACAGCATCAAAAATCTGGTTCGGACCTTGGATAATAATTCCTCATCATCTGTCATATCAATGTCTTTAAACAGCCACTTTGTTTCTCTAGGACAACAAGTCTTCCTCTTCTTCTCCTTGAATATATCGGAAAATGCATTTGTGGCAACCCAGCGGCTGACACGATCCAGTGGAATTCTGCAACACAGCATCGCCATCAAAAGGAAAAGGATGGGAGCGTAAGTAACGAAAAGAGGTGGCCAAAGGAAAATTTTACCGTACGCGTCTGATTTCATTATTCTATCTTGAGCTGCAAAACTGATGAATTTACATTCAGAGAATTTAAAAACTGTGATGAAATGTTTATACTTCTCGTTCCGAAAACGAGTTACCTAGGAGATGACCTACTTACTCCGTGGGGAGACTGGTTTGAGGTGACAGTCATCTATTTTTTTTTCCTACCCCTCAGAGATACGCCGAGGTACTGGGGACGAAGACTGTTTCGGCCCGGCGTCTCACGGAGTTTTGGGGCAGGGAGACAGCTGACATCTCAGAGTACGAAACGACTGGCTCAGCGATGAATGCAATCCTTACTTTCAAGCCGGTGAAGGGCAAAAGAGTTCACTTCCATGAGCGAATCGCTTAAATGAAAATGCCTTCAAGGTCTAACATTCAAAGCTCGGTCAATGAATAGAACGCCACGGTCGCTGATTTTGTCTTTACCATCAGATCCAAAAATTGGGTAAGGCATTTGAACACAATTTGGCCCTATGGGGGAAGGGAAACTGAACGGACCAATATTCAAAAGTTAAAACTCCCGGGGAGGAGGGGGCTTCCCGGGGGGAAGGAGTTGAAATTTTGATCTTTCGGCTGACTTTTTCGTTTTAATGTTCCTTATAGACCTTTGCTAAAACGATTTTTTTTGTCATTGTGAATAAACCCCTTGGGTTTTTTTTTTCTAATTTTCTTGCAACAATTTTTCACCTAAGGCAAGCTTACAAAAAGTGGAAAGAAGCTGAAGAAACCTCCTGGAGATTACCTCCAAGACGTCAGTCTCAACCATACAAACGAGTCTGGGAAAATCCCAAAATGAAAAACTCGAAAGAAACAAATATCGAAAGATTTCAAATTTGATTTCATTTTATATGTGTGATATGAACTAGTTTGAACATAATGTGTTCGTGATTAATAATTTTTGACATAAGACGAACAAAATTTATGAGGGCTGTAAATAAAGCTCTGAAAATTGCATATCTAAATTACGCCTCGGTCTGAATATCTCAATAAAGTTGAATGAAATATTAATAGACTAATCTGTTGTATTTTTCCATCTTCAGGGGCCGTTTTAAGCGTCTTTTTACGAAATGAAAATCATGAATGTAGTTTTCTCAATATGATCAGTGCCGAACTCAGCGACCAAAGGAATTCGAAGCATGCAGCTCACTGCGGTTCAAAACTAAGCCGAGCGCTGATTGGTAAATTTGAAACGGCCTGCATGCTTTTTACTAGAAACTTTAAACTGTAATCGTAGTTATATACTTATTATATGTTAAGCCGTTAACTATATAACTTTGGATGAAAATTAAAAATGCAGGAGTCGCCCTGTTGGTTTTTACTGCGTTAGTCCTGAATCTAAGTCGCTTAATTGCTGTATTTTGATAACCGAGCCGTCGAGCCTCCAACCTTTAAAATTTATGTCAAAATGCACTTAAAACCCATTACAAACTTAGATCAAAAGTTGACGGCGACAAAAATTCAAGATGGGGGCGACGCAACCATACTTCGGGGCGATGGAAGTTGGGGCGACCGAACAAGCCTATTGCCTTGGTAGGCGATAAATCGCTTACACAGCCGATGCTTACACAGGTGATGGACAGTCTTGAGCACAGTAACCTTCGCACAGTAACCTTCGCTCCAGAGAAGTTAGTGATACGACTAAGTCGCTTTGTTTCCCTCTACCACTCTGACAGGGAACTCTCTTTCAGGTGTTGCACTCTGCGCTTGTAGTAGTTCGATTGACAATTCTTGCGTACATGAATCCAAGAGCGAAACAGAATGAACTGGTTTTTGGGCTGAGATCCGTACTTCTATTGCTTACATTTAAGTTCAAAAATTAAACTTCGGGCCCACAGAGATGACTGAACATTAAAAAGAGGGCTGTTGTCTTGATAGCTAAAGTTAACGAAATATGTTATATGAAACGTTATTGCAGTGCACTGTCCGAAATCACATTTTAAAATCCGATTGACTCGATTAGAAGAAAAAATGTGCATTCATTAGAACAACGAGTGGTTCAGTCTGGTTTAACCAAAATCATTGCAATACAGATGTTTTCCTTTTTTTCCACTAACCCAAGCAAAGTGCGTCAACCAACCAAACTGGCCAGTTTTTGAAAGGAATCACGGCATAACGCGGCCTAAAGGGTATGTTGGGAACATGTTATAACCACAAATGTACAACAACCAGAGATTGTCTAGAACAGATCTTGTAAGAATTCAATTTTATTCAGGACACTAAATCTTCAACAACACGTCCGTATTTAGGACGTATTTCTCGTTTATCTATGAAAAGAATTACAGCAGTAGGTTATTTTCATACAGCTTTTTGTGTGTGTGTATCTATAAACACATTTTAAAAATCTCTCCATTTTCTTGATCCTTTCCAAACTGCAGTGGTGATGTTTCATGATATAAATAGCGCGGCAAGCAAAAAGGTTGTCCATAATGTTAATGTCATAGTTTTACGAAGGGGAATATTTGATGAATTTTTAAGTCACGATAGCAGGGTCTTCCTCAGCCACGCTTAGAGATGTTTGTTCTGCTTGTTTTCTTTCCTTTCTTAGTTTCCTTTTTATCTTCTTGACCTTAGATCTTTCCCTGTAAGAAACAAGTGTCAGATTTTTTATGATCTATATATTTCAACATAAAAGCTATCTGCTGCGATTTACTACAGCTTGTGCAAACTGCCTCGAAGTCTCAAATAGCTGAATCTTTTCAGCCAGTCTTTCCCATATCAGTTGATTTTTTTTCTTATTTTACTTAGAGTGCTACAACGTATGTCAAGTTAAGATGAAGTTCGTAGCATTGTATATATCTCTGTCAGACTGAAATAATCACCTAATTCTGATATGCCGTGCATTAGTTTCTGCCTAAAAGCTGTCTGGTAATCGTCTCTCAAAGTTTCAAAGTTTTCGAATTCTATTCCTTTTACATTTACATTTCGCAGATTGGCTTCTTAATTTTTCTTGTTTAATGGTTAATGATAATAGTCAAGGAAACTTTCACATACCCATGGCTGGGTATTTTCCTGTAATCCAGAATAGCAGGGTCTTCTTCAGCCACACCTTTTAATGATTCTCTCCTTTTTCCTTTTCTTCGTTTCTTCTTTCCTTTAGACCTCTTCCTGTGGAAAATGATTTCCATATTCCTCTGAGCCTTATTTTTGTCTGAGAATCTGTCTATGATCTCTAATCAACTGCAGCTTGAAAAAGTATACGAACTCTGAGGTTTAGCGGCATACTTACATTTTTTGTTTTATGCCACTGTCAATAGTTGTAGAAATTGCTATGAGGGAAATGAACATTCCTCTGTATGGAATGATTATACATGTGCTGCTTGCTATATACTAACTAGATCAATTAATTTAGTTGTATCCCCTCCCCTTGATTGAATCGTACTTACCTTTCACTGGACATGATCTTAAAGGCTTCGACTTCAGGATCTTCTTGTGCCAAACTTAATCTTGACGATTTGATTTGATCTGAACTAAAATCTTCCACAACAGCCGACTCCATGTGTCTCTCTGCTAAGAGAAGCTCTTCCCAAGTAAGGCGGAGCACCTTTATCTCCTTAGCAACTTCTTTGTTGTCCTCACTCCTCCCTTGGACTTCTGCAGTTTCCATTTCTTTCATTTCCGTATCTTGAGAAACTTTCTCGGTAAGATTTTCAACAGAGTGAACTTGTTCGGTAGTGGGTTGAGTCTCTGTTTCATATTCTGTATCGACCTGATCGGACCACTGGAGATTTCTCGCCACCTCAAACACAGTGATGTCCTCCAGGGGAATCTCCCTTGAGACAATATCAGCCCAAGATTCTCCTTCGGTGACGTCCAGCCACTGGTCATGTTTAAAGGATTCCTCTTCTACTTCCTTAGTTTCAATTCTTGTGATGTTCGCTTCTTGAATGGCTGTTACCTTCGCATGAATCTCAGGGGAGGTGACGTCTTCCCAAATGTCTTCCTCTACATTCTCATCTTCATCAGTAACCATAAACCATTTCACATCCTCAACAATCTCGGCCTTAACCTCTTGCCCATCATCGCTCTCTTCCTCAAACTTGCTGTTGTTAGTTTCATCTGCAAAATAATACAAATGCAATTTTGACCCTAAATTTTCTTAATGTTTGCCGTCAAAATGATCTCACTGAACCTGATTATTTGTTACTGTAATGACTCATCCTCGAGGAAAATTTGTCTCTCAAGCAGAAATGATCTTTACATACCTTTAATACTTGTTTTCGTCTTCTCGGTCTCTTTTATTTCACCGCTGAAAGGGAAAAATTGTGAATCGTTTTTCATTCACTTTAGCTCCTTTACATTCCACCCTCTCCTCTCAACTATCCCACGCCCTAACCCTTCCATTTCATCCTCCCATTTTTTCTTCCTCCGCCCCCCACTTCACCACTTGCGGAGTTAAAAACATCAACACTGGAACATCTTATACTTCTTCCGCTTTTTATATTTAAACCTCTACAAGGAAAAGAAGTTAACTGTTTTTCGTTCGCCTTAGTTTGTTTACCAGTCCCTCCCCCCCTCTCTCTCTCTCTCCTTCTTTACCCCTCACTTCCCTTTCCTTTCCCTCCTTTCCCTTTCTCTCCTTTCCCTTTCCCTCCTTTCCCTTTCTTTCCCTTCCCTTTCTTTCCCTTCCCTTTCTTTCCCTTCCCTTTCTTTCCCTTCCCTTTCTTTCCCTTCCCTTTCTTTCCCTTCCCTTTCCCTCCTTTCCCTTTCTTTCCCTTCCCTTTCCTTCCTTTCCCTTTCCTTCCCTTCCCTTTCCTTTCCTCTAAATCTTCAAAACCCGCATGAATAATTTTACGGAGTGAAGTTTTCCATTTTGTTTCATTCTTACTTCAAGTAACGCAAGTGAACGTATTTCTTTTTTTGAAACATTCAGAAAAGTAAACTGGCTGCAAGGAAATCTTTCTTTGTTTCTGCCACACTGAGCGCAAATAAAAAAGAAGGAATATCTGATGAGCCAAATTGCACTTTTCCCGTTTGTTTCTTTTTAAAAAGAACTAGATTTGTTTCCAAGTTGGATTCTGTTTCATATGCATCTTTTTGTTGGTAAAATATTAAGCATTGTAACTGATGTGGAATTTCAAATCACTTTTGCGAGACACGTTTCGGCGCGCGATCAGCCCGATGAACAAGAGAAAATGGTTTAAGCTTTTTTCCTGTCGTGACAATTAACAACGTGACAATTTCCACAAGTTTTGAGCCTTACCCTTCTTCGTTATCGCAAAATCCAAAATATGCTAAAGCCTGTAAAGCTTCTATGAAGGCGCGCCAAAATGTTACAAGAGGCATTTTGAGTTCTACTCTCCTTGCGGAAAAATGGATCTCCTCTGGAGAAACGTCACAATCAGACTTTTTTTATAAGCGCGCGATCGAACGATTATGCGCCAGTGATGACCATAAGTCGGAAATTACGGAAATTATAGACTTGTGTGACTATGATTACATACTTTAAATCAAAATTATTTTTTCTCCAGTGTTTTTTTCACATAGGGTCAACAACCTGAGTCCAAAGTTTGTAGCTCCACTCTTTTTGAAGCTTCTTGCTTTCTTTTCCAGGCCCCCAGCTAGTGCGCAACTATTTTCTGTGGAAACTACCAGATTAAGTGAAATCCATGGTAACAGATAAAAACAAAAGGAAAATACGAGCTGAAAAAAGCTCCAAATATTCTTATGATCATGATTTTATGAAATTTGATGAAACATTTATTCCGTTCGCGCTTGTTGGATACAAGATTGGTTATTGCCAACTCAGCACTATGCACTTCGTTGGCTATTTACCATCTCACATCAAACGCACGTTCAAGGAATAATTGTTAAATATACCTTGTAACGATTGAAATAAATGGAAATAAAGTTCAGGTTTACTTATTAAAAGACAAAACTGCGGTTATGGGGATACAACACTTGTTTTAGGAATGAACTAAAAGAAGTCAATAAGGTTTTTCTCATAACGGCGATTTTCTGTTGATGGCTCGCAGAAAGACTCAATGAAAGAGAGAGAGAAAAAAAAGACAAGGAATTAGTACTTTCTTCTCTGATGGCTGTGTAATTGTTATGCAGATGCAGAGAGTAGTGGGTCAGTAGAATACGGTAGTTATGTCCTCTCCAAAACCTTCCTCCTTTACTGTTCTGCAATATTCTCGCTAATCCTTTCACTTACTGACTGCATGAAAAATCGCTTGAAAACAACTCTTGAAACAGGCGTGCACTGCTGGCACAGCTGGCTTCTTCATTGCAAGAAGAAAAAAAAATGAAAAAGGGGAAAACTCTTTCCAGGTTAACTGTCCTTAGCAAACTGAAAACATCATTTTGAAGCGATGTCAGCTCTGTCCTTGACCAATCTAAGGTCTGATATCGCGCTTCGTTTTTCCAACTGAAGGCCTGGAACAGGCCACTCTTCTTGAAACATAATAGGCGTGGCACGCGCTCTGTTCCCCGTTTTCCTATTTGACGGCCAAGAAAGAAAAACTAATAACATGAAATGCTTAAATTCAATCGGTTTTGTTGTAATTTTAATGAAAAAATCAAAACTCGATATAATTATAAACAGTCGCACAGAATATCAGCTACAGATGCGTACTATATATTTCGTGATTGACATCTCATGCCCCACCTTTGAAGATTAAAAAATAGAACAAAATCTTACTTTAAATTACCTACAGTGTAAATGATTTCATTCACTCGATTGCAAACATTGTGATTACATCAAGTTAGACAAGTCATTCTATATATTACTGAGCACGTTTTAACTTGTCACCCAATCATCTATATTTCTCTGTAAACGATATTTAAAAGTTCCCACTTCGAACAAGATCATCCTTCCCCCCCCTACGGATGAGTGTCTCCGTGGCGGCTAATTCAACAAAAGAATCTTCCACGGGTTTAATATGCCCAGGAGAAAAGGTGAACCAGTAAAACAGGGAAGTTTACTTGCGGTCCAAGCGGGTACATAATTTATCTTTCATTTTCAAACTCTCTTATCCTCGAAGAAGATATCATTAACGCTACGGCAAGGCAAATCTAAATTACGGACAAAATGGGTTCGGGCAAGGCCCGCTAATCTCTCTTTGATGGAACCTGGCCAACCAATTGTTAAAAAACTTTCTTATGTAATATGTAGAAAAGATTCAAGCAGTTAATAAGAAAACACCACCCCTAAATTGAGTATTTCGATCTGCCTTTTGTTAGAATTTTTCTGTCTGTCACCAGTACTTAAAACGGCTAGCTTCAACAAAATTTTCCAAGTTAGCCTTACAACACGGTTTGCTATCGACATGACTTTCTTATTTCTTACTGAAACTAGGCTTAAGTCCAGTTACATATAATTTATTTAGGGCGGTTTTGAGAGAAAGCGCGCTTTTCGACTGCGCGTCGTAAAACCAAACCCAAAGTGACTTATCACAACATACAGTAGTACAAACGTAGATATCACATTCAAGCAACCAATCAAACATCAAATTAAATAGATGCGAACAGCTTAAACCGCGGGAAAACGGGATGTCTAAGTTGCGACTGCTTTCAGTGGAGACAACTTTCACCATTCCGGTTGGTCACCTCTAATGTAAACAACAAGCAACCTTCACACTACACTCAGTAAATGTTTGACTTGAATCCTTACACAAAAACACAATCGCCATTCTTCACCACCAGTTGACTTATCAACAACTCGATATCTGAGTTACGATTATAACTAACATTGGCGGATCGCTTTAACCCTTTAACTTCCAGAAGTGATTACCATAGTACTTCTTCCAAGAATATCCCTACAATATCCGGCAAAACGCGTTATGAGAATACTTAAACTTTACGGATATAAGTTTTTCCTTTGGACTAACATAAAATTCCTCGTAACTTAATCACCAGGAAATGTGTAGCAACTGGTGGGGAAAGTTAACAATCAGATCTTGGGAGTTAAAGGGTTAAATCTTACACACAACATCTTTACCTACACTATATATAACTTCAACCACAGAAATTTTGTGTGGCATAACTAAGCCACTTAAGAGAAATCAACCTTACAATGTACCTCAAAAGACTTTAGTGCAAGATACTCTGTCTGAAATTTCTTACCCTATAACAATTGATTTATTGAAAATTTGAAGGAGAAACAATCCAGAACAATTCAATTATTAGCAACTTGTATTATATAAAAGATACAAACGTCCTTATACAACTGTATTACACTGTTTAATATTGTTACCTCCTTGATCCATTACTATAAAATGCAGAATCAAATTCAATTACTCCATCTTGCTAAAATTCAGGTAAATAAAAAACCAAAAAATTGTTGACTTGACAACTGATTAAAAATAAGCTGCATGATCTTAAATAATCATATCTAAAACTATGTTATTAAAATACATTTACATAATATTATATCATTTCAACTACTATAAAATTAAGCAAGAGCTGCATCATAACTCTAACTGAAAGGATAAAATAAGAACATTCCAGGACACTGAAAACAGAGAGAGAACTCGGACTTGGATCTCTCTCTCTCTCTCCTGTAACTCTAAAAATGAATTCATTAATCCTGATTTAAAATATATTATTATGCTCAAGAAGGATTAAAGCACAGACAGCATCAAGAACCTGATCCTCAGTGGAACTTGTCTATGCTTTTTGTTGCTGTTGTTTTTTCTCTGAAAAGTGTTGGTAGACAAAATGGAGATAAGTGATCAGACTTTTGGGTTCAGGGACATCAACAGCCATAACGTCTTCCAACTCCAACAAAGGTTCAATGCCCTCCTCACTGATAAGAGCAAACGAAAAAATTTTCAGTCTTGCTAGCCATGTAGCTCATAATAGCTGTAGCTAACACAGAGAGAATGTAATATGAATACTTCATTTCATTTAGTTTCCCTTGCACTGAAGAAGTAACCCTTAAAATGTTTACCCTAATATGTTTTTATGAAGGAGAAATCAAAATAAGAACTTAAAATCCTGGATTAGTGATAACAAACTATCAAATAACCAGCCCTCCAGGGTGATGAACCTATACACTAACAAGATTTCTACATT